AATGGTTAAGTAGTCTGGTTCCCTTACTCCACCAAAGATAAAATGGATCAATTTATAGATGTCGGAAAATTGTAAGGTAAGGGAACCAGTCTAGCTGGCCTGCACCCGTTCATGAACATGTAACCAATAGCAAACAAAATTTGGTCTGAAAAAATGGTAAATTTGATGCAGTAGTTAAAAAATAGGTTTTTCCAACACAGGTCGGCCGACCACCGTTGGAAATGTATACAAAAATACCATTTTCTTGATAATGACTTGACACCAGGTGCCATAATTTTACAGGATGCTTTAGACTGTCATTTACCAACATCCTAGTAAGGTATTTCGTAAAAACTTGGTAGTTTTATTTTTCGATGTTTGCAAATGTTGTTTATTCCCTTTAAGATTAAGATTTCTGCAATGTGCTCCTGTTACACACACGATGCTACATACAACACAACACTGTGTGTACAACCTGCAGCTCCTGTACAATGTACATGTACATACATGTACATGTGTATTCTGCTGAGTTCTATTAGTCATTTCAGTCCACCATTGTTTAGCAACTCCACTGGGACCACACTGACTCCAGTGGTGAACAAAGGATCTCTAATTGTTTTTCTGTAGAATTTTGTAGGGCCAATAGAATCTAGATAATTCAGCCGAATTCATTTTTTTTAGCAGTTGGTGGATCCTGTTAAATTCAATGGGGTACTTTCAGAAAGGCTAAGGAGGGGAGATAGGGCAATAAGCCCGCTGAGGGCTAGAGAGTATATATTTATTAAAAATAAATTGATATTTTCATAAACATTTGTATCAGTCTACATTGTTGGAAAAGAAATTTATTCTCCAGATAAATATTTTGAATCAACAATCATTAGAAAAACAGACACTGTTTTTTTCTTGTTTTTCTGAAACAAATTGACACAAAACACTAAACACGTCAGTGGAACGATATTACTACGGAACACACATGGTACATGTAGACACCAAATGTATTCATTTCTTAAAATTACAACTAGGCCTTTGAACACCAATGTGGACAACAACCTTTCTGAATGATGATACGAAGTATTTCGACACCGCTAAGTCTTTCACTAAACCAGTTCGGGCCAGATGACGTGTACACGCAAAGGTTTAGCGGTATTCGGAACGGATGACAGATAAACACCTAGGGAGCGAGGGCGGAAATATGTCGTCAGAGACCCGCTCGCAGTGAGCGGGGCTGGAAATACGAGTGTGCTGCCTGAGGGTGATGGCTTCAACCCATCTGGCTTGAGGTCGAGTGAATAATAATTCCGTGCCACGTTTCGTTCTTGTCGAAATAATCCCGGCACGAACTGGTTAAGACTGTAGGCCTACTAGAGTGGATGTAAAAAGTTGGTGATTGTGAAGTTACAGGCCGCTCTTTCGTTTTTAGTGTTCTTATCAGTTCCAAAATGACTTCTTCAACCTTTAAAAGCAATCAATTGTTGTTTAATTTAGAGCAAATTTTTTGTGATTTTGAACAGTTACTGTTAGTGTTACAAAAATGTAGGTCCACACTTTCTGGAATACACAATTTTTCTTACCAGTTTTTACAGTTGACGCAATGCAATTATAAATACAGTTTTGACTACTGAGCATTCACTGTGATCACCATCTTTATTTTAGGCCAAAAAAAAAAATGAACCAGTTTCTCATTCCCGCCCACATCAGATTTTTTTTCAGTGTTTCATCATTTTTTCATCTCCCTCATTATAAAAACCTTGCCATCTTTCTGTGACATTCCTGTTGGTTTTCAACATTGCTTACTACAACTTTAAGTTAATCTGTTTGGCAGTGTATTGTTGATGCACCCTAGTGTGACGCGGAGTCGGACCCTAAAAGCTGTTGGATGCCATACTCAACATAAACAATCAAGGCGCCCTGTGATTGGCTCTTTAGACTCCCACATGCAATTTTGTTTCCCGCTTACAAATGTATGCTACGGCCATACAGGGGTTGCACTTAACTTTTTTTTTGACTGGCCAGCCGGACCAGTTGGCTAGAATTTTGACTGGTCCGCCAGGTTTTTGACTGGTCCGTCTTATACAGCGTGTACCCACCAGTTAATCAGTTTCACATAAGTCATAACAAGACTATTGTCATCAACACCCATGTCATCATGTCACCTGAGCAATAGAGGTCTATTTTCTTCCTCCATGATCTGAGGCCGCAAAAGAATATATAGTTCTGCCTCAGATTACATGCCTTTTAAAAATAGGGTCGGTCGGTCGGATTTTTGGGTTTTTGGGGGGCCATTTTTTTTATGCCGCTTGAATGGGGTATTCAATTAGGCCTCAGTATGCGAAGTTTTAGCCTGATTTTATTTTTATTGCACTATGAAAGCTATACACAAAAAGATGGCCACAAAAAGTGAATAAAACCTACCTTAATTAGGCCAAAAAAATAGTTCTGCTTCCGATTACATGCCTTTCAAAAATAGGGTCGGTCGGTCGGAAATTCTTCTCTTTTTTGCCAATTTTTTTATGCAGATTGAATGGGGTATTCAATTATATGCGAAGTTTTAGCCTGAACTAGTTTCATTGCACTACGAAAGCTATACACGAAATGGCAACAAAAAGTGAATAAAACCAAAGGCTTTAATTTTTGTCAATATATTTACGTTCGATAATTTCAAAAAATAATGGAAAATTCAGGTTGTTCGCACCATATGCACAACGCTAGTCAAGACGCGGGGAGCTGGCCAAAACTCCGAGGTGTGTGATGCGTGCGTGTGTGGTGAGCGGCCCACCATGGGCCGACAGACCCGTTTTTACCGTCAAAAATTTCGGGAAACACGGGGCATGTATCACTCCAAATACGAGTAGTGCGATCTCAAAATGAACTCATGAACACAGAAAATACATACACAGATAAGCTTGATCAATTTTGTAAATTAACTTGAAAAAATGTTCTTTCTCCATCGGTGTTTTCTTGGCATTTTTACGATGTCGAATCCGACCAGTTGACAGAGCACGTGCCTGGCGTCTGCACAATGCATAGCCATGCTAGCGCTGTCAATCGCTACTCCTAGAACTAAAGTATGATGCTCCACGTAGTGGAGCCTCATATATTAAGAACCCCGCAAAATTGTTTTCAGCACAAAACACTAATCAAGTACAAAAACGTCCATCAAAGTGCAGAAATTTCCAACAGAACCGCTGCACAGTTTGCCCCCAAACTCCGTACTACACCTCATGACATACTCACAAATTATGCGCAGAACAAATATCGCTGGATTTTGTCTTTTTGGGGGCTAAAATGATGAAAAATATGCCCTTTCCGCACTGAGCCAACCTGACACTTGAAACGTGCACGATGATTTTCGGTTCGCTCGGAGCGCGCCGCGGGGGGTACGGTACAAGCGAAATGATAGTATGCGCATGCGTACAAGTGCTTGTACCGTACCCCCCGCGGCGCGCTCCGCGCGAACTGAAAATCATCCTGCACGTTTCAAGTAGCTCAGTCCGGAAAGGGCATATTTTTCATCATTTTAGCCCCAAAAAAGACAAAATCCAGCGATGTTTGTTCTGCGCATATTTTGTGAGTATGTCATGAGATGTGGTACGGAGTTTAGGGGCAAACTGTGGAGCGGTTCTGTGAGAAATTTCTGCATTTTGATGGACGTTTTTGTACTTAATTAGTGTTTTGTGCTGAAAACAATTTTGCGGGGTTCTTAATCTATGAGGCTCTAGGAGTAATCGATCGCATAGCCGTGCACAGACTAGTTACCGCATTTTCATCGTGTCTTCTAAATTGGCGCGGCGGGAACCAGTCATCGCCGCATTGAGCTGGGTTTACGCACATGATGAAAGTCACCGTGACATCGAGTTGCGAAGTAGTCATATCGAATTTGTAAAAATAACGGAGGTTTCTTTTGAAAAAAATAGCGAATGTAAGTAAGAAACCAAATAAATACAACAACCATTTTTTTGACGCAGATTTTTTTGGCTGGCCAGCCGGACCACTTGGCAAGGTGTTTCAGCTGGTCCGCCGGCAATTCAACTGGCATTTGGCCAGCGGACCACCGCTAAGGTCGAACCCTGCCATAACCCAGGCGCGTCATGTTTCACATGTGCACGTGAATGTTGTCTCAGTGCGGGGATTTTTTTCCATGATTTCTGCAAAATCGGGACCGATTCCACCCATGTTTGTTTGATGCATAGTACTGTACCGAGAACATGTATGTCAATGTATGTCACATTTGATGGATCTCAACCCATCCTAGAGGTACCTACATGTACATGTATCCACATGAAGATAATACTTGTGAAATATTGAGGCCGAACATTTCGTGACAGGAGAGTTTGGAGGTTTGAAAAAATTTAAAATTTTGGATCTTTCTGTAAGGTTTGTAAAAACCTAGACCCACTGCTAACTGGGGCACTACTAGAACTCCTTTTTTGACATTTGGGATGTGGTCTGTTCACTCTGTTGTAGCGTACGACAGACTACATCCCACATGTCAAAAAAGGAGTTCTAGGGCCGGCCCAGTTAGTGGGTCTAGTAAAAACCTTACTCACTGTTCTGGAAGTACAACAATGTAAGTGTTAGGGGCCTTAGTGTTACTTGTTTAATTTGATTCATGCGCAATTTTCACATTAATAATGATACAGATTAAGACAAGTTAACAATAACATTAACAACAAACAAAAAAGAAATAATTTAATTAGGCTAGCCTAGCACTCAGTGACTCACTGATTTATTAGGCTAGCTCTAGAACAAAATTAAAAATTAAACAGAGTCCCCCCGTACAGTGGAAAATGCAGGGATAACGCAAAACCAAGTTTAAAAACTTATTTCTATTGTTAATATTACCAGTCATGCCAGTAAGTAAGTGTTAAATTAGTGTTTGGCACTAGACCTATTCGTTAACACACAGGCAATGGCCGGCAATGCCAAAGAACAACGAAGAACTGATGAAGAACTGGCCGGCCCAGTAAACGCAACAAAACACTTGTGATTAAACGTTTTTCAGACGAGGTAAAGATACTCACCGTTCCTTCTGGTAACTCTGATATCAACTCCGAATCTTCATTCATAGTACTGATCTCCATCTTTGTTGTGGGATATTGTCAAATTTCACGGTGACAAATCTGTCGTGGACTGGACAACGTCGTCACCACCCTGATGCGCGGAATTGTGCACAAAAATAGTTCATGTTATTTTTTACGTAGAAAGTGCAGTGTCGATTTAGTTTCGCTGGTTCCAGTACTATGGGTGAAATTGCACGCATTTGAGAAGGGAACCATGGAGCTTGTAAAGGTTTGTGACGTCTAAAATACTACTTAAAGTCGTTAAGATATGCTTTTTACTATAACATTTTTTTGGAATCTATTTTTTGTTAAAAAGTAAATTCTATGCTAACAATTATTTATTATGTAATGCTTAAGGTAAGATAAGTAGCTGAAGTCTATACGATAAATTAATTGCACATTAAAGCTTTTAAATAAAATCTAGTCTGGTACCATTAATAGGAAGTCTACTATCCAGACTTACCGTCAAAGTGTACACAATTGTGTCACAAAATAAATAACACGAGATACAGTGCATGCAGTGTGCATGTGTGATACTATGAATCATCGCGTACACGTTACATTGGCACAACCTGACAACTTGCAGTTTTAGTCGTACGTCTACTACGTGTGCATACTTAATTCTGCGACTGCATTGGGCCGAAAACAATGGATCATGAAGTTATGAAATCTTTAGTAAGAACGTCTTATCTCTGACTGTCATGACTGTAGTCTGTGACTGTGTGTTCATTTAATTCAAAAACTTCGCTGTGGCTATTGTTACGGCAGCCGTGATACAATTTCCAACTGCTATCGTTACTCGTTAGGTCATTGCAGAAACATTGCAAATCTATATCAACCATCTGGTTCCATGACCTACAACTTAAGTATTCAACGTCCACGACGTCAGGATCTTTAGACTTGGCTGTTGGAAACAGACAATCATTCAACCGAATGGTTCTCGGACTTTATTTGAAAATTTCCCTTAAAAAAAACACGGAATTCCGTGCTGACGAACATCATTTTGTGCTTACACTACAGCAGCGCAAGCAGAAATATTCTGCGCTAACCCTGTAACTAGCATGACTAGCGCAGAATCCTTAGTTACGCTATGCGCAGAAGCCAAAATTCCTCGCTAATCCGTGAAATACGCTTGCCGTAAGCATGGAATTTTCTGCTACAATAAGCAGGTAACAGAGCCAAGAAATTGGGCCCAGGTTGGACGGGTAGTTATAATTCATAAATGTGATAAAAAACTGATATAGATTCCCAATGGTGAATTTAAAATACCGTAACGATAGCATTCGAAAATTGCATTACGGCTGCCGTAACGATAGCTACGATTATGTACAGACATGTGACGAGCCTAGGATACCAACAGGTTGTGTTAATTTAAATTATTAATCACGGCTCTCTGCGGACAATGGGCAGTGCATCGTTCATTTCTTCATGCATGGTGTTCTGTGTTTCCTTATTTCAGGGTGTTGGAGGGATGACCGCAGCAGTCAATGTACTGTCAAGACCGGCAGAGGAGTTTGGCAATGATGTGAGTGTGAAGTACACTACAGTGGAACGTCGCTATACCGAACACTGCTATACCGAACATTCGGCTATACCGAATATTGTCCTTGGCTCCCAGTTTTTATGTACGAAACGTACCGAACATTGTTGCTGAAAATGTCAACAGAAGAGCAACAGTGGCTATTAATATTATTTCCTTTTTATTTGTTTCCAACAAAATTTTGGTAATCCTTACTTTTAGGACACCTCTATTTTGTACGAGTTCTGTTCAAAACTGACTTTTGCAGATGACTGTCCAGTACCAAAGTGACTTTTGCAGGCTGAAGAAGTCTTTTTTTCTTCAGACAAACTCATGTTAGTTATAATTTTGAAAGCGCTTTCAAAGAAAATGTGACTTTCCTACCTTTTTTTGCAGTTCGCCATCTTTCTTTTTAAATTTATTTTCTGTTTGTCATCTTTAACCCCTCATAACTGAAAACCCTGCCCTCTTTCTACAAAATCGAACCTGCTGATATTCAAGAGGTGTCATTGCCAAATGTTCAAATGTGTCAATAAATATGATCAGAATGTCACTTTTGAGTGTCATTTAGTCAGCTGTTTTGGTGAGTCTTTTAACCTTATAATTGTTATATAGGAAAGGGGTCCTAAAAGTAAGGATTACCAAAATTTTAGCTTCATGTATGTGTGCAAGTTCAAACTCTGTTAGAAAGGGTGAAGACTCCTTTGGAGTTTGGACACAAAAAGTATTATTGAAACAGTCAAGAAAATGGAAGAATTTGTCCAGCCTGAAACCACCTCTTGATGTTCGCACCTCTCCGACAATGCCCGATGCAAAATTTCAAAATATTAGACACAGTTGTCGATTATACACGTACAAATGTAGCACATGGTTGCTGACACTACCAGTAACAGACTAAAGGAAAAATTTTATATTGTTCTGATTGTTTTCCGTTTCGTATTTTTGTGGTACTTTTTTTTTCTGTCACAGGAAAACTTGGAGCTGCGTTGGGCCATCAAGGCTTACCATCACGCCGAAACGTACTTCAACGTAAGCTGTGTTTAGAATGTGAAATCTTTTTTTCGGCTTCTTCCTAGACCCGTGAACGTGGCTATAAACAAAGCCACAGTTCGTTTAAATTCTCTGGACTTTGGACATGTTCGAAATCCCAGTTGGAGACCTTCCACTTACAATCTCGAAATTTAACGAGCACTGTATGTTCAGTACTTACCGGTACATAAGAGTTTATCCAAGAACTTCCAGTGGCATAGGATCTGTCATTCCAAAGAAATTCGAGGGAAATGGAGCCCATACGAATTTCTACTGTAGAATTTTTTCGAAAGTCCACAGATATAAAAGGAGCGTGGTTATGTATATAGCCACGTTCACAGGTCTAGCTTCTGCTAATGTTTTTTTAAGAACAATAGAGGGCGTTTGTATGTGTACTGGGTCACGCACTTCCTTCCCAGAATGTATTCAGGCTGTTAAAAAAAAAATGGAATCCGTTGAAAAAATGTTTTGTGCCTTTACTTTTTCATCCTCTACAGCTGATCTCTTCCGTGGATAATCGTGTCTTAAAGTTAACCAAACAAGACGATGACATCTACCACAGCTTTAGAGAGCATTTTCCCGACTTGAAGGTCGACGTCATCGACCAGGAAGAGTTGAAATCTGAGGCGGCAAAGTTGGTCAGTAAATTTTTTTCCTGACTGATTTCAAACCACGGTGCATCTATTGTAAAGTTGATGGTTAGAGAGTTTGGATGTATGTTTGGTTGAGCGAGTAAAAGTTCTGCCACTATCTTACGGGAGCCAGGTGGAGACGAAAACCACGTTAGGAAGGGCATATGTGAAATGAAGCCTGACATCATTTGGACTCGGGTCAATTGATATAAATTAAATGAACAAAATTTAACCTAAAAGTTTAACCCTGGTATCTTACTTCATTGATGTTCCTAATTTTTCCATTTTAAATCTTAAAAGGTGCAATACGTAGTATAAAATCTTCTTTAAAAGAATTATACTTTTAGAAATCTAGTGAAAAAAAAAAAACATTTGCAAGCCTTGTGGAGAAAAGCATTAGTAAGTTTTCAAGGTTACCGGAAATTTCTCTGGCAACTAGGATTTAAGTTAAATAATGAAAGGTTTGCGGAAACACCATGTGCAAATAATTTCTCAACTAAGAGAATGGTTCTGAAAAGAACCAGAGGTATAAACTCGACGTTCCGGTCAGTATGCTCTGACCGTCTTCAAGAGAGTGGCTGTCTGTATGCTCTGACTGTCTCTTGACGACGGTCAGAGCATACTGACCGGAACGTCGAGTTTATACCTCTTGTTCTTTTCAGAAACATTCTCTTAGTTGAGAAATTGTTCGCACATGGTGTTTCCGCAAACCTTTCATCATGTTCATTATTCAGTATCTCCACCATGCAAAGCCTCAAATCTTACTAAGGATTTAAGTTGTAAATTGGCTAAAAAAAATTTCAATATTTCATTTCTGTTGGACTGAAAAGTGAGTGAAAAATAATGGAGATCTTTCAATTCCTCCGATTTAAATCAGTTTTGTTCTTCAAACTCAGAAATGGAGACCTTTCTGCACCCAGTACGAAGGTGTGGTGGAGGACTTCAACTTTGGCACGTTGCTGCGTCTGGACTGCAAGGGAGACTACTCGGAACAGAACTCCATATTTGGTGAGATGCTGACATTGAACAAGTCTAACATTTGACGCGCTGTTAAAACCAGACACTTCTGGTCAGAAAATGAAATGGAGATATAATAATAAAAAAAAAAACAAGTTGGAGAGGATTTTCTTTATTTTCAGATTTTTTTGCAAAATTTTGACAATGTTTAAAATGTAGTTATACTGTTTAAGTTCAAAATAATGCCTCAAAAGTGGATTTTTTTTGGGGGGGGGTTGACTTCTGGAGGTGTATCATTTGGAGAAATGCATAACCAAAATGTGTATTTATGACTTCACCTTTGTGATATGAGCTCTTATTGGGTATAATTTTGTCTATTTTCAAACATTTAACCGTCCTTGTCAAGAGGAAAAACTGTTTTGGCAAGTTTTTCAAGAAAATCTGTTGTCGATCTGTTGCCAAGAAGTGTTTTCATTTTTACAGAAAGTGCCAACAATTTGCCTTGTTGATGAAAACAAAAAAACGACAAAATGTGCTCAGCAATTGGTCTGGGTTTATATCCCACCTTAGCATGGGCCCTCATTACCCATTAATTTGGATGATCAGACATCATAAGTAGTAAAATTGACTGGTAAATGCTCTCGCTGATGCTACAAAATTGTGACAAAGTCATCACAATACGGCAATCATCAACATAATCCTTTTTTTCCTTATTTTTTGGGAGAATGATTCAACTTTACAAGGATAATTTTTGTCGTTACTTTTTTATGCCAGTCACAAGGATACAGTTCTTCGCCGTTGAGATCGCCAGGAATCGGGAGGAGCTGAACCTGGAACTCTGGACCAAGAAACAGGAGAAGAGGAAAGAAGAGGCGGCAGCGAAGAAGGAGATGTCAAGTTGACGAGAGGATCTAGCCAAGTTTTAACCCTAACGTACCCGAATCCATCAAAATCGACACCCCTGTTTCGGGGGACTCGGATTTCGGCGGATTCAGGATACCTCAATATTGAAAAAGTTGGGGGATTTTGATGGATTCAGGACATGAAGCCTAGCGGTACTGCAAGATTTTGATGGATTCAGGATACCTCCATATTGAGCAGTTGGGGAACTTTGATGGATTCAGGATCTCAACAAATTTACTCCCGGCTAACTGGTGGATTCTGATGGACTCACTGGCCACCACATTTTTTTTTTGCATGGCAAAATTGATGGATTTTGGCGGATTCAGGATACTTTCTAGTAAATATACCCAAGGGGTTAGGGTTAAAGATTTGTTCATACTTCAAGGAAATGTTATAATGCACAGCAAATTTGTTGTCTGGCCAAACTTTGGAGTTGAAACATGCTCAGCTTTTAAGAATTTTGCCAGGCGATTACTTGATGTGACGTCGTACGTTTGCGTTCTGTTTTGCTTTTGGGCCGAGCTTTTGGTTCCTAACCCTTCAACTGTACAACATGGATTTTGTGGTCTGAACTCAAAGCAGCCTGTATGATGTATTCAGCCATCCGCTCGATAAGTGACATTGACATTATGGCATGTTAAGCCTACCTGCGGTTAAGAATAGCGACAGTGGTTCATGGATTGTGGATATTTCACATTACTGATGTAGACAGTTCCCCAGCTAAGCCAGCTTTTGCAGAAAAACAATGCATGACGTCATCCTACTTTTAAGTACATGTATATAAAACATGTGGTGCATGTTTGCATACAGAAATATGATATTTTTTTTTCCAAATTTAGATGACTTCATACTTGCTTCAGTTTGATCTGTAAATTATTTTATTTTTTTTCAGAATTTAAACATGAATTGAAATGTTTATATTTCTCCTCTCCCCCCCCCCCCCAAAAGGGGACAATTATTGTATTTTTTTTCTTCAAAGAGGGTTGTTTGGGGTATCGGGGTTTTTTTTATTAGGGTTCAAACATGAGTACATCTTTTTATTGGTTTAAAACGAACAAGATGCACGAGAAATGCTTGCACTTCCACAAACTTGTAACCATTACCAACAGTGTTAATTGCATTAATATAGGATTTAATTTTTTGAAAATAAAAATGCTGCAAACGGTGTATTGTGTGAGCATAGGTTTCATTTATATTCCACTAATTTTCGACATGTCTCTTTCACAACGAAGATATAGGTACTTACCACCTAATCCTCATTAGGAAGTATGGAAATAGAACATGGGTTGTTTCATTTTTCATATACATGTAGCTTTATGTACATGTTTGCGCTACATTATACCAACAGAGATTTTAAGGGTGCAGACCAGTAAATCTGTCCGAAATTGCCTACGCCGGCCAAATCACGATTTGCATGCCCTCAAAATCCTCAGTATTTGAGCATGCTGTGGGCCATGAACTTGAGGGTTTGTAAAAAATATGGGTGGAAGCCGTGCACAGGACTGAGAGCTTGCAGTTCTGTGTAATTTGGATGTAATTTGGACCCTAAAAGCGCTCTATTTTGCAATGGAGTGTAGGCATCGTTTTTCAAAATGGCGATGGGCTTCAGGACTATTTTCAGGGGTGATCATCTTCAGATGGAAATTTCTCCTAAAAGTCATCAGTTGACCCCCCGAAAATTGAAAAGAAAATGAAAGATGATGAAATTAGCTTTAATTTGATGTGTGTCTCGAACATCTTGGAGAGTTGTGAGTATTTTCCCGAATTTTTGAAGTGGGAGCATTTACCATTGGGGTCTATGCAAGTTTATTTACTGGTCTGCTACCTTAAAAGCTTTGTAAGCTGTGATCAAAGGACTCGGAGCACAAGAACCCCCTCAATAGTTTACAAAGGGAGAGTTGGAGGAGACCGCTGGGAGGAACCATTCAAAAAGTACTGCCGATGGCGCCTAACGCGTACATCTTGCCGTACGTGAGCCAACCAGTGCGCACACAGTGTCCCTCCCATTGGGGCTGTCATAGGTGGTCACAAAAGCGCCCTCTACTCTTTACGCACGGAGTCTATCAGCTGACATCCAAAATCGTTCCGACAGTCGGAAGCTTAAGAGTCTTTCCTTAGTCCACACCTGCCGAGTCTTGTCGCGTTCTCTTCATTGCCGACTGTTCGTCCACGCTGTTACGCTTGGACTTTGATTTCCTTCTCTTGCTGGTTTTGGCCCTGCCCTCCGACCCCTCAAGGGATTGGGCCACGACCCCTGACCCCTCGTCCTCTGTGGGATCACCCCCCTCCTGGATACTCATACCACACGCCTCCTGGCCTGCTTTTACTTTCCACCGGTCTTTGCCCGAGAGGTCTCCGATCTGCTGGAGCGACATCACGGACTTGATGGTGTTCCGTCTCGTGGCTGACGGGAGGACAGAAAAGCAAAATTGATGTCAAGAAGATTTCAAGAATTTATAGGGTTGACCATTCGAGCTGGTCCAAAAAGTATGTCACCCTTTCCCTGCCAGACACAACACAGTGCATCTGGTGTAAAAGTCTGTGTTGCCTTGCTGCATTGAGCCATCAACACCAGTGCATAAACGACCAATTCTGAAACAATGACAACTTGTTCCACTGAGCAATATCACAGCTGTATCCTGCTGCAGTTGGTGACAACAGACTCAAATGCAGTTTGGCCTCCGGAGCTTTGACAGGATGGATCTTGCTACACGGAGCAGGCTGGTCATTTTGACAAGTGTTACATGTTGCTGCGTTTTAGCAGGATTTTTTGCCAAAGTACCCCCAGGAGGTTAGGCCAAAAAAAAAAAGTCTCCGGTTTCTGGTATGCGCGCGCGTCGCCGTAGCCATGCGCGTCGGCAAAATGAAAAAGTTTTTTTTTCAATAAAAGATGATGTCTCAAAACCGCCAAACTCACTGGTTTGACTGGAATTCTGCTGCTGCACAATTTTAACGTGTTTTTAGGTGGGGTTATGATCGAGAATAAGCTTTATGTGGCCTCTCTGGACTCCCATATATTTGCACCAAGTTTAGTCGGGCACCATTTGCAGTCATCAGCCGACATTTGAAGCAAAAAAAAAAAAAAAACCAGGTAAAAAAAAAAAAAGCCGCGTCGCCGCACCACTTTTGGGGCAAGCTCCATACCAGAAACCGGAGACTTTTTTTTTTGGCCTTAGGGCTGATTTATACACGTGTCAGTTAGCCAGTTGTTCAGTCACTGAGTCGGCCAGTCAGTCGGTGACTCAAGACAGTAGGCTTGCCTTTCGGGTACAGAAAATCTGGAGGCTGTTCTCTTAGGAAAGCCCACAAGAAATTTCATCTTTACTGAAAGAGTTACGCAAGTGCATGGTATATTGGCATACCACAGACTGTTCTGAACTGTTTGAGGCCCACACAAGCATATCAGAACTACATTTATACTCTCGGGGTAGATGTGCGAAATTGCTGGTCTGTTGCAATTGGCTGATTTTGACACCCTCCATCTGCATCAGAAAGTTGTACAAATGGGCCCAAACTAGTAATTTCGCCCCAAATCCCCTCAAATCATGCTGTATCATCAGGCATACCAACCTGCATGGTACAGTACGGCTCTACAATTTGTAGACACGGCGTTCTTGGCCTCTTGTTCCGATAACCCAAACAGCAGGCCTCTGGGGTTCGCCATTAAGGAAACATTTTTGTCAGTTCTGTAACTTGATACCTCAATTAAGTCGACCTGTTTCAGAGTACCTATAAAATGGACTTTTTGTGTCTGGAGATGTACATTTGAATACTGTGTTTCCGCCCTTCTCCGGCGTTATTAGCACTGTATGATCAGTGCTTTGTGAGCGATTGTAGAAAACCAGCCAGCTGACCCTGGAAAATTTGGTAGTAGAGTGCTTAAGACGTCTGCATTAGTACACAGGAGGTCCGCAGTGGTGTAAAATAAACAGGTGTTTCACAGCTGTGTTTACTTGCCACAACAAAGAGCGCCACCTATTGTCTAATGGTATGCAATATTGTCTGCATTGAGCAGTGCCTCCTATAGCACGATGGTGTCCCCCCCCCCCCCCCCCCCCCCCCCCCCCCCCCCCCCCCCCCCCCCCCCCCCCCCGCACTGTTTTATTTTGAGGTGGTCAGCTTAACGAGAAAAAAAATCCTGGCTATCTTCAAGCACAGAGAGTCTGCTTCACACAATCGCTGTGGCGCCCCCCCCCCCCCTTTCCCCCACTTCCCCCTTCCTCCCCCCCCCCAACCAAAGGAAATCTTCTAAACTTAAGATGATGGCAGAGGATTTTTTTAATGACAGGGTCGTCTGCTAATGATACTGCTTGAAAAGGATACAGGTTGGCAACATCATGGGGCCCTCTGATCTCCAGCGGCTACAAAAACAAATCATCCAAATGAAAAGGAGCTTAATATGAGTCAGTTTGGAGTCAGTCATGGACTTGAAGCTGTAAACACAAGTCCTCACAAATCATACGGTATCAAGTCGAATGATTAGCCCATCATTCGAAGGCATTCCTTTAATTGACGTTGTTCACGCATCTCATACAAAGGTCAAACCTTCTGGTCACAACAACGAGGGATGAGAAATATGTTTGACAAATTTTGGCAAAAGATTAAACAGGAGTGGGCCTGGCTTGAAATTCGGCCCATTTTGCCCACCTTCGTAGCTTGACTGGTGATGATGACGTTCTTGCCTCGACACAGAGTGATCAACGCCATGGCGTTGCTGAGGACGTTTTTCCGCATCGTCGAATCGCGGATGGCCGGTGCGTACGGGATCTCAAAGTACAAGCCCCTCTCTATTGCCTGTTTGATCAACAACATCAGCAGATCTTTTAGGAATATTCATGGTGGATGTACATGTAAATGCTAAGAACCTGCAACAGATCCTTCCTGCCCATAAATCAAACAGTCATGATTTGACAAATGTCACTATGAAAATGTACACGGTTAAAAATGCAGTTTGACGGTTAAAAATGGAAACCACACATTTTAACCGTGCCGGCACACGATTGAAACACGGTTAAATAATGGGACCAAAAAGTACACGGTTAAAACAGGTGTCTTTTCGGGACTTGGCTTCCAGAGTTGCTCATTAACTCTGCGGTCAGTTTCGCGGATTTAATCCCTCACATCCAGTCTTGCTTCTCGGTTAAAATGGGGTTGTTTTCGGGCGCTTTGCCTTTGCGGTTTTTAATCCCGCACGGTCAGGCTAAGTGCTTTGTGTAAGGTGATAATCCTGTAACAAATAGGTGGCTAATGGCTCATCAAGTAATGGTGCATAACGGTTTGTGATTGACAAGTTTGTTGCCTTAGTCGGCTGCAAGTGATGTGGCGCAAGCTAGCAACAGGCACATTGATTCCCGCATTCATTTCCGATAAACGGCTCATCCCCCTCCAATCGAGGTCGGACGCAGAGTATAGATTGGCGGCAGCCGTCAGCGCGCTGCTGTAGGCGTCCGTACGACGGAACAGTTTTATTACTATTAGGCCCACCCTATTTATTTAAGCCGCTACCCTAAACATTGTTTCGGCAAGTTAAAAAAAATAATACTAATAAATGAACGAATTAATTAAAAAAATTATGTTGTCTTTTCTGTCTTCACAAAACATGTGTCAAAAATGGTGGTATTAATTTGTTCGCCTACTTACTAACTTGTTTTCAGCCTATTACCTCCGTTATTTTCGGTTCGCTTTGCATTAGGCCTAACGGTACGAGTTCGCAATTCGATGTCGCGGTGACGATAAGAACACGTGCGATGACCGTGTTCCCGCCGCACCGCCGGGCCAAGGAAGGCATGATGAAAATGCGGTAACCAGTCTATGCACGCTATGCCAGCCGCGCGGTGTATAGTCGTGTTCCCTAACGTGGCGCACTTCGAAGCTTACCCAACTTTCCTCGTGTAGTGTTGCCAAACCTCTTTGTTGATAAACTTCAAATTCATGCAGTGAAATACTGGTACTTTTACCTTATTAACGCTTGTTATTTAACCTCTGTGAACAATTTCAGTTTCATAAAATTTAATCCGAAATGCAAAAACGGTCGCGTCCGGAAATTGGGCACAAATTTGCGGAGTGTTCCCTAACGTGGCGCACTTGAATAAATCTCAGAAAATTCCAAATTAACATTTAAGAATTTCTGTAAACTTGATAAATTCTGATAAATCATTATTATCTTTACTTACAAACCCAGCCAGATGTTTGTCAGAAAATTATTTTCTTATTTTTCGGGGCATTTTCAAAGGGTTCACTTTGCACTTGAAAATAAAATCGGAAAATCACGCCAAAATATTTTTTTCTTTTAACTTTGTAGCGGGTAAATAAACTCGCGATTTATGAACGGGAATGTTTAGAACTTGATGAAATTTCACTCTCTGTGAAATTTCAGTTTAAACTTTTGCTCTAGCTAGGCGCTACAGGCGAAAAATAAAAGTGCGCCACGTTAGGGGCCGCGCCACGTTAGGGTACATCAACAATATTACAAGTACGGCGGACTGAAAATGAAATGCCAAGAAAACACGGAATTGTTTGCAAGTTAATTCACGGAACTTGATCAATCTTGTCTTTGTATGTATTCTCCGTGTTCGTGAATTTATTTCGAGGTCGTACTGGTCGTATATTTGTCATGACAGTGTTGGCCAGTTTCCCGTACTTGACTTGCGGGGTGTATCATGGTGTGCACGACCTGATATTTCCATTATTTTTTTAAGAATTATCGAACGTAAATACTTTAAGGTAAGCTTTAATCACTTTTTGTGGCCATTGTTTGTATAGCTTTCGTAGTTCAAAAATAACACGATGTCTTAAAAATATATTGAAATTTTGTGTTGTTTATTTCTCATTTTAGGTCAAAAAGCAAAATTTCAATATTATGCTTTGGCGATGGGTCCATTTATCATTTTTGCACATAAAATTTTATTTTTTCAAACAAGGACCTTTTTTCTTATATCTTGTTTGGGAGGTGGTTGCGACATCTAGCGTCAAGTTTCGTGACATTTGACGCATCGGTTCTCATTTTAGGTCCAAAAAGCAAAATTTCAATATTATGCTTTGGTGATGTGTCCAATGCCCTCATTTATCATTTTTGCACATAAAATTGTATTTTTCAAACAAGGACCTTTTTCTTAATATATGTTGTTTGGGAGGTGGTTACGACATCAAGCGTCAAGTTTCGTGACATTTGACGCATCGGTTCTCATTTTAGGTCCAAAAAGCAAAATTTCAATATTATGCTTTGGCGATGGGTCCAATGCCCTCATTTATCATTTTTGCACATAAAATTTTATTTTTTCAAACAAGGACCTTTTTCTTAATATATCTTGTTTGGGAGGTGGTTACGACATCTAGCATCAAGTTTCGTGACATTTGACGCATCGGTTCTCATTTTAGGTCAAAAAAGCAAAATTTCAATATTATGCTTTGGTGATGTGTCCAATGCCCTCATTTATCATTTTTGCACATAAATTTTTTTTTTTTCAAACAAGGACCTTTTTCTTAATATATGTTGTTTGGGAGGTGGTTACGACATCTAGCATCAAGTTTCGTGACATTTGACGCATCGGTTCTCATTTTAGGTCCAAAAAGCAAAATTTCAATATTATGCTTTGGCGATGGGTCCAATGCCCTCATTTATCATTTTTGCACATAAAATTTTATTTTTTCAAACAAGGACATTTTTCTTAATATATCTTGTTTGGGAGGTGGTTACGACATCTAGCATCAAGTTTCGTGACATTTGACGCATCGGTTCTCATTTTAGGTCCAAAAAGCAAAATTTCAATATTATGCTTTGGTGATGTGTCCAATGCCCTCATTTATCATTTTTGCACATAAAATTTTATTTTTTCAAACAAGGACCTTTTTCTTAATATATCTTGTTTGGGAGGTGGTTACGACATCAAGCGTCAAGTTTCGTGACATTTGACACATCGGTTCTCATTTTAGGTCCAAAAAGCAAAATTTGAATATTATGCTTTGGCGATGGGTCCAATGCCCTCATTTATCATTTTTGCACATAAAATTTTATTTTTTCAAACAAGGACCTTTTTCTTAATATATGTTGTTTGGGAGGTGGTTACGACATCAAGCGTCAAGTTTCGTGACATTTGACGCATCGGTTCTCATTTTAGGTCCAAAAAGCAAAATTTGAATATTATGCTTTGGCGATGGGTCCAATGCCCTCATTTATCATTTTTGCACATAAAATTGTATTTTTTCAAACAAGGACCTTTTTCTTAATATATGTTGTTTGGGAGGTGGTTACGACATCTAGCATCAAGTTTCGTGACATTTGACGCATCGGTTCTCATTTTAGGTCCAAAAAGCAAAATTTGAATATTATGCTTTGGCGATGGGTCCAATGCCCTCATTTATCATTTTTGCACATAAAATTTTATTTTTTCAAACAAGGACCTTTTTCTTAATATATCTTCATTGGGAGGTGGTTACGACATCTAGCATCAAGTTTCGTGACATTTGACGCCTCGGTTCTCATTTTAGGTCCAAAAAGCAAAATTTGAATATTATGCTTTGGCGATGGGTCCAATGCCCTCGTTTATCATTTTTGCACATAAAATTTTATTTTTTCAAACAAGGACATTTTTCTTAATATATCTTGTTTGGGAGGTGGTTACGACATCTAGCATCAAGTTTCGTGACATTTGACGCATCGGTTCTCATTTTAGGTCCAAAAAGCAAAATTTCAATATTATGCTTTGGCGATGGGTCCAATGCCCTCATTTATCATTTTTGCACATAAAATTTTATTTTTTCAAACAAGGACCTTTTTCTTAATATATCTTGTTTGGGAGGTGGTTGCGACATCTAGCGTCAAGTTTCGTGACATTTGACGCATCGGTTCTCATTTTAGGTCAAAAAAGCAAAATTTCAATATTATGCTTTGGTGATGTGTCCAATGCCCTCATTTATCATTTTTGCACACAAAATTTTATTTTTTCAAACAAGGACCTTTTTCTTAATATATCTTGTTTGGAAGGTGGTTGCGACATCTAGCGTCAAGTTTCGTGACATTTGACGCCTCGGTTCTCATTTTAGGTCAAAAAAGCAAAATTTCAATATTATGCTTTGGTGATGTGTCCAATGCCCTCATTTATTATTTTTGCACACAAAATTTTATTTTTTCAAACAAGGACCTTTTTCTTAATATATGTTGTTTGGGAGGTGGTTACGACATCAAGCGTAAAGTTTCGTGACATTTGACGCATCGGTTCTCATTTTAGGTCCAAAAAGCAAAATTTGAATATTATGCTTTGGCGATGGGTCCAATGCCCTCATTTATCATTTTTGCACACAAAATTTTATTTTTTCAAACAAGGACCTTTTTCTTAATATATGTTGTTTGGGAGGTGGTTACGACATCAAGCGTCAAGTTTCGTGACATTTGACGCATCGGTTCTCATTTTAGGTCCAAAAAGCAAAATTTGAATATTATGCTTTGGCGATGGGTCCAATGCCCTCATTTATCATTTTTGCACATAAAATTTTATTTTTTCAAACAAGGACCTTTTTCTTAATATATCTTGTTTGGGAGGTGGTTACGACATCTAGCATCAAGTTTCGTGACATTTGACGCATCGGTTCTCATTTTAGGTCCAAAAAGCAAAATTTGAATATTATGCTTTGGCGATGGGTCCAATGCCCTCATTTATCATTTTTGCACATAAAATTTTATTTTTTCAAACAAGGAAATTTTTCTTAATATATCTTGTTTGGGAGGTGGTTACGACATCTAGCATCAAGTTTCGTGACATTTGACGCATCGGTTCTCATTTTAGGTCCAAAAAGCA